TGACTTAACGTTCAGATTTATTTGTTAGCTGCTTGACCATAACCAGTTGGGCGGGCCCCGTAGGTGCTGGCTGAGTTCATGAACGAGAGTAGTTTGGCAACATCATGGTCGGCTTTCTCTAGAAGAGCACTCTCAATTGGAGACAGTCTAAGTCCGATTAAGTTACACGAATTGGAGTTATTTCTAACTATTTCTACCTTGAAGCTCTCAACAGCGTTTTTCTTCATACCGCTCTACTCCCTATTCAAATCAGCTCATTAGGTAAGTTAATCGCTGCCTCCAGATGTAGTTTTTTTTTTACCTCCAGACGTCCTTTCTGTCTCCAGATGTCCTCTGAGCATTACATTCTCGAGGTATTATTTCATTATTTTTCTCAAAACTTTCAACTCCCGTTTTCGAAATTTTTAACAATAAGTAACACTTCGTTCAAAACAAAGAAAGGATTACTTAACTTTTATACAATATCGGTCCTCCCAGATGGCAGTGAATGCTGAAAAATCTCATCACAGATGCAGAAGTAACGTAAGGCAACATATGTTTGGTTCTACAGAAGGATGCTGAGAATGCCATTGATTGAATATATGAGTAATTATGAAGCTTTAAACAAAATAGAAAGAAAATATTTATACTTAACATCAAAAAGACGTTGACATTTCAAGGTACATAATGAGAAAAGAGAGCTAAGAAAAATTGACACTCACAGGACAAATTGAAGGCAAGATGGAATGAAGAAAGCAACTTATAACTTACTTGTGTAAATGGTTGGCAGATCAGGGATTAGGAGAGATAGCGAAAAGGCAAATTTTACTCAGAGCTAAAAACCATAGGCATAATCGCCCACGTTATTTTAGTTCCCATTTTTATTAAATTAGTTGCTCTCATGTTCATTGCATGGTATTTTAAGCACCCACTCGTAGATCCACAGATCTGCCGTTCAGAGAATCATCTTCATTGTCTTGCATTATCACAATATTGAAATTCAAGGCAATGTCCTTTGTTTCTAAATATATTCTCTCGCTCTTTATTCTTTATGTAGGTCCTTGAAGGCCTTATTTGCTTTTCCAATGCACCTTCTCCTTGCTATGTCAGATTTTCCGTCGTCTATACTTCCCAGTTATAGAGTTTTATTAATTCATCATCGAATAAAAGGCACAAGAGCCACTCAAATAAGCGTAACGTTGTTATATATATGTAAACATGGAATGTAACAATTTTAAGTTAGGAGTACATGTAGGAAAAATAGAAGATGGCCCAAAACTTAAAGATTGTAGCGATCAGTGAAGCACCCTCTCGTCACCCTGTTGCATAAGGTAGAGGTTCATTTGAAGAAGCTAAACGAACCAAACATCCTTCTTGTTAATGGAATACAAAGAGAATGAGTGTAACTTATCCCAGTGTACGTGGCATTGGCTGGCCTTAGCTGAGAAGCTCTGAACTAGTGGAAATAGTGTGTGTGGCTCGTCAAAAGATTAGTCATTGAAAAGAGAGTACGGAGAGGCATGTGAAGATGCATCTGTGTGAAATGGTATGTACAGTGGGAAATGTAGACGCTGCTGAACTCTATCAGGTTTGGAAAATTAGTACTAGAAAGTTCCAGCCCTGATATGGTAGCATACCTCCATTTTTGAACTTAGGTAATTAGAGAAGCGTTTCAATCATGGAAAATCCTTACCTCATAAATATAACGTACCGTAAATCATTATGTTAACACACACACACACACACACACACACACACACACACACACATATATATATATATATATATATATATATATATATATATATAAAAAAACAGGAACTTTTTAACAATCCAATAAACCCAAGAGTGATGGAAGAAAAATATTTTATTCATAGTAATTGTAACCTTAAACATGCCATTTAAGAAACAATGATGGACTTTTCATTTTTAAAAATTACGTCCTGTAGATGGCGTCCTCCTTTACGAATGCATTCTTGAAATCTGCTGTTGAGATTCCTCATTGACTGCTGCAACATCTCAGTTGGGATACTGTGAATTTCATCTTGAATTCTAAATGGCGAAATGTTTACTTGCTCAAGGTCACTGTCTCGCAGTGTTACAACTTGCAATACGCACTTCAAAAATTCCCGTTTTTTTGGGTCACTCTCTATATGTATTTCATGCAAGTTTCATCAAATATGACAGAAAAAGTGGTTTAATATGATAATAGTATTATTGAGTGTAGCTTTATTTTGCTTTTATTAATAAGGATGCCATTATGTAATGTATTTAATCTTTGAAAATGCCTAAATATATAGCCGAAAGCGCTCGGAAAAATATAACATTTGGACAGTTTTTTTCATAATTTAACTACTGAAAAGAAAACAATTCTAAGATCACATGAGAAATTATATAAAAAAGCTTAATCAAAGCACATTTTCTATCATATTTAATTAAACGTGCATGAAAAAGGATTTCATTACATACACATATATATATATATATATATATATATATATACATACAATTTATATATATATATATATATATATATATATATATATATATATATATATATATATATATATATATATATATATATATACAATTATATATATATATATATATATATATATATATATATATATATATATATATATATATATATACACATACAATTTATATATATATATTATTTATATATTATACATGTGCGATATTTACTGGAAAGCGCTTAATATCAATGATAGAACTAACATATTTAGTTGCGTTAATGTGAGTTTCTGACCCTGAGTTTCACGCCCTTTGCGATCATCAGACAAACTTTCTCTCTCTCTTTTTTCTCTCTTTTTATATATATATATATTTAGTTTTTAATGATGCGCATACTTTTTCTTTAAAAGAAACCATTTTCGTCCAACACTTTTTCAGAGAGTTTCATTGGAAAAAATATCCAAACATGTAAAAGCATTAATCATAAACAGCAAAACTGAAAAACTGAGTGCAAAGGTGGGGGGTAAGAAGCCACGACTAAAATAAATTTATTGCTAAAATAAATTTATTGCTAAAATAATAAATCGATGTAAATAAGCTTCTTGCAAGGATAAAACAGAAAAAAAAATTACGAACCACCCATGAAACACTGTGAACGAAAAAAGTTCTGCCTGCACAAAGTCGGTCAATGAAGCTTGATATGAAAAGTTTGTAAAAAACAAAAAAAAAAGAATTAAATATTTAACCGACCGAGCTTTGTCCAGTACACTAAAGCTTTCGTCAGAATATTTCAAAACGCAACCCGGGTTGTTCATCAAATGTAGTCCAATCACTGACTCACCAGCCGACTGCGTCACCGGATCATTGTTTCCGTTTTTCTATTAAATTTTCCTTCCATTTCTTTTATTTTTGGAATACCAAGAACTACGATTGATTGATAACGGCTCGGAATTGGAAAAAAGAAGAGCTTAGTTATGATTCCTGTCGGATTAATTATATTCACTTACTTGAAAATATCCTTGGGAAAGGTACGTATCCACCTTTCCCCGACTAGCTATGTTTTAATTAGTAATGATTGTAAATCATTATTATCTAAAAAGAAATCTCTTATTATCTAAAAAATATTTATGGCTTTAAATATGATTCAAAATTTTGATAAGCCATAAAAACAAATCAATCAATTCATTTTTTCTTTATTGTTCTTCGCTTCTTATTTAATTTCCTTTTCTTTTTTATACCTTAGATTTCCCTTTTTCCTTTAGATTTTCCTTTAGCCTCTCCATTACATTTATTTTTCTCCTCTTCGTTCCTTCCTTAATATAAATATAAATATATATATATATATATATATATATATATATATATTGCCCAACACATTCCTTCTTCCAATTCTTTTCTGCTCCATTCTTTTTTCGTCTTATTACCCATCCTGCCCGTCTATTCAGTCACTCAACCGGTCCCTTTTTCGAATGAGGATGGTGAAAAGTTTTAAAAGAACACAGTTGAATACATTCGCTTCCCGTCTGATCAGTGTCTTTTTTTTTCTCCTCTTCAAAATTTGTCAGATTCAAAGAAAAGGCTTAACACAATCAAACAATTCAGACAATGCAGAAGATCAATAACCAATCCCCGCACACGTCGGTTTATTTACAGAAATGCACTCAAACAATGGTTAAGAAAACTTGTTGGAAAAGCTGTTTGCTTTCAACTGCTCTTAAAATCTAATACTTCATTCTTTGTTACACATGCATACATATGCAGTCGCGTGTACAAACACACAGACACTCATATATATATATATATATATATATATATATATATGTATGTATGTGTGTGTGTGTGTGTGTGTATAATGATAAAATAATGCTTTAAGGCTTTCTATATTTATGGTGTAAATGTTAGGGAAGCAGAGTGATCCATGATGAGCAGAATCTTCAGTCCTGAAGTTGGCGTACAAGAATGAAACAGAGCATCACTCTTCAAATATTTAAATACAATATCAACTGTTACCTTCTGTCTTCTTAATTTCTCTTCTTATATTGTTCTCTTTCCTTAATAATGATGTTTTCTTAGATTATATTACACATAGTAACTCCCTGCGTCTTAGTGGCTTTATCGCTTTGATTGCGGTGAAACGACTGAAAAAAATGAAAAGAAAATACTGAAATATAGGCACCATTCTTTGACAGTATATGTAAACAATTTTATCACAGCAAATTTGGAGCCCTCCCCAAAGGTTGAAACCCTCACGGCGGAAGGCGAATATATCATAAAGTAGTTAGTGCGCACCCGCCTCGACACCCCACTTCCGTTTGAGGTTTACATGGATTCATATTTTACCAATGGATATTTTCAACCAATAACAGGCGTTTCCGAATATCTTCTTGCCGAGTCAGTTGTAAAAAAATTCAAGTTGTAGCAACCTTTTCGTGTTGGTCGTAGAATTAAAAAAACGCAAAAGAGAATATCATCAGAACACGAAGTCATTTCAGAAAAAAAAAAGAATATACACAAATAATTCTGCTGGTAAAAGCACTAATATATCAATGTTCTTTCTTATGCATAAAAGTGAGTATTTACATTTGAGTATTTACATTTGAGTATTTCCCAGTCACATACATGCACGCATAAGCGTACATATAGCACAATAAATTTGAATTTTCACTTTCAAAATGGCTTATCTTATTCAATCATACACTGAATATAAACCACATTACAAAAATTATTTGTTATAATATAAAATTTAGATGGCGGTTGTAAAAACTTGGTCGGCATTTTATTTGTTAAAAATAAGTTAATAATCATTTATTTACTACACTAGTCCACATGTAAACACGTACACACGCATATACATACGCACATAAACACGCACATACACACACAAACACATACCCACATACAAACACACACACGCATATGTAACATTTGGTGCTGACCACACTGTCCACTTTTATATTTACACACGCTCTATCTTTGATATTGAACAATTTTACTCATGAATATAGCATACCTTAAAAAATATAATATATATATATATATATATATATATATATATATATATATATATATATATATATATATATATATTCATGAACTTCATGTTCATCCCACTGTCACTATTTTTTCTTCTGTTGTCAGCTGTATTCATTTTTACTTAATTTTTATCAGCTTTTATTTTCCCATCGTATCTATCTATCTATCTATCTATCTATCTATCTATCTATCTATCTATCTATCTATATATAGTATCATCTGTGTCAATCTATCTATCTATCTATCTATCTATCTATCTATCTATCTATATAGTATCATCTGTGTCAATCTATCTATCTATCTATCTATCTATCTATCTATCTATCTATCTTATCATATATGTCAATCTATCTATCTATCTGTCTGTGCCTGTCCGTCTAAATATCTATCTATCTATCTATATAGTATCATCTGTGTCAATCTATCTATCTATCTATCTATCTATCTATCTATCTATCTATATAGTATCATCTGTGTCAATCTATCTATCTATCTATCTATCTATCTATCTATCTATCTATCTATCCATCATCTATATCAATCTATCTATCTATCTATCTATGTATCTATACTATATATATATATATATATATATATATATAGTATCTTTTATGTCAATCTATCTATCTATCTATCTATCTATCTATCTATCTATCTATCTATCTATCTATCTATCTTATCATATATGTCAATCTATCTATCTATCTATCTGTCTGTGCCTGTCCGTCTAAAATATCCATCTATCTATCTATCTATTCATCTATTCATCTATCTATCTATCTATATAGTATCATCTGTGTCAATCTATCTATCTATCTAGTATCATCTATGTCAATCTATCTATCTATGTATCTATCTATCTATGTATCTATACATATATATATATATATATATATATATATATATATATATATATATATATATAGTATCATCTATGTCAATCTATCTATCTATCTATCTATCTATCGTATCATATATGTCAATCTATCTATCTATCTATCTGTCTGTGCCTGTCCGTCTAAATATCTATCTATCTATCTATATAGTATCATCTGTGTCAATCTATCTATCTATCTATCTAGTATCATCTATGTCAATCTATCTATCTATGTATCTATCTATGTATCTATACATATATATATATATATATATATATATATATATATATATAGTATCATCTATGTCAATCTATCTATCTATCTATCTATCTATTCATCTATCTATCTATCTATCTATCTATCTTATCATATATGTCAATCTATCTATCTATCTATCTATCTGTCTGTGCCTGTCCGTCTAAATATTCATCTATCTATCTATCTATCTATATAGTATCATCTGTGTCAATCTATCTATCTATCTATCTATCTATCTATCTATCTAGTATCATCTATGTCAATCTATATCTATCTATGTATCTATCTATCTATGTATCTATATATATATATATATATATATATATATATATATATATATATAGTATCATCTATGTCAATTATCTATCTATCTATATCTATCTATCTTATCATATATGTCAATCTATCTATCTATCTATCTGTCTGTGCCTGTCCGTCTAAATATCTATCTATCTATCTATCTATCTATCTATCTATCTATCTATCTATCTATCTCGTTTAAGCTATGAATTTTAGCTTGATCTCTTCAACCAATTCTAATTTCTCGTCTTCTATATACGTTCTCGCCTCTCTTTTTATATTAATCAGAATATATTAATTCTTCTATGCAAGTCGCTATTAGAATCTTCTTTTTTCTTCTTCTCCTCCTCCTATGTGCTGTGTCTCATCAGCACTTAGGTAATCATGACTCTCCACAGATTCATATAGAAGCTCTTAGCAATATTTTTCTTTTTACTATCTCTCCGAGTTCTGTTTTACTACTCAGTTACACAAACTCGTAAGACAAGTAATTCAATGTTAACCTCTGTCCTTCTTGCTTTCCTTCTTGTCTTGTGAGTGTCAGGTTTTCGAAGTTCTCTTTTCCTTATTAGATTTCCTAGGTGAATTTTTGCACAATCTTTCGATAATCTTTTTCCTCATGCCGTTTTACTACCTCGATTCTTACTATATTTTTCGGTTCCTTGCTCCGCGTTTATTCTAGCCATTAAATAATTTCTTTCTACTTGCCTAGCAAAACAAAGGTTGTTATGCCAACAAAGAGGAAAGCTGTATATCTGAACCAGTGATACCACTTTTCACAGACTCTAAAGTGAACCCCTGTTTCCGACAGCTTTAATAGCGTCTATCAAGCAAACAAAGGAAACGTATCGTGACAGGGCCTATAGGCAAGCTTCGTTCAGTTTTCGGTCATTTCGTGATCTCTGTTAAGGAACTCTATAGAAACAAATAACCTATCAAATGCAGTTGTAATAGACAAAGAACACAATTGGAAAATTCGTAAACTTAAGGAATCCGCACATATGCTAGGCCACACAAATTTCTTGAGCCGACCAAGCATTCAAACGAATACAATATGGGAACCAGTAATAAGGAGTGCCAGAGAAAAGCGATAATAACAACAAAAATTTCAATATGAGTACTGGTAAAAAACATATAATGATAATAGCAAAAACTTGCAATATGAGCACTTGTAAAAAATGTGTTCTGAAGACATTAGGTTTATAATACACAGAAATTCACACAAAGATGCTCTAAAGGACTCATGGCACAGTGGATAAAGGCGTTTGTTCGATCCAGTGACATGGCCCAAAGAGTGTGAGTTCAATACCCGTTTAAGGCAGTGGAGAACTTGGAGAGGGGAATTAACATCTATAAAACATGGCACGTGGAACTAGAAGAGTCTACCCAAGTGAGCGAAATAAAGGGTTCAGTTCGACATTCCAACCAACTGAAGAAGGCGACAAAGATGAACACAATAGTCCGAATAATGTAAATAGTTTATATAATACCTCATCTCAGAAATATAGATACTGAAGGGCCGAAACGTTGTAATAAATATGGCGACAAAGATGAGGACAATAGTTCGCATAATGTAAATAGTGTACATAATACCTCATCTAAGAAATATAGACTGATATTGCAGTTTTCTTATCTGAACTAAACATAAATAGTAGATTAAAAATCAATCTTGTTTTTACGCTGTTTTACGTCAACGCCCTTTTTATAATTAAACAACATGAAGTCGTTGTTTATTTCATTGATTTAAAAATAAGACAGTTTTAAAAACAAAAAATATCTTTAAAAATTATGAAATAATTTACAAAGAAAAATATTTTATTTTAGAATCTGAACAAATTAAAACTTCTACTTCGAGGAAGAAGTTAAAGCACTATGGCGTAAGAATCAGCAGAATTGACATAGATAAGACTAAATGGCATTGTTCCTGTAAGACATACTCCAGAGATGAAGGATACGAGTTTGGTTTTCGTCAGAATCTCATTTATTATTCTGATTCCGTAGTGTTTAATTCTCTAGTCAAACACTTTTGCAACCTAAAACTTGGGAATAAAAGGCAGGAATAACACGACAAAAAAAAATCAGTAAAATATTTATAATGAAAAATACTGCACGTTCGAATCACAAAATCGACTTAGGAAAATGAGTAATAAATCTGATAGCTGTATAAAGGATCTCTTAAATATTTGGGTTGTCATGAATTATTGCCGCTTGCCAATGATTCAGTAGCAACCTAGCAGGAAAGACTAAACGGACAGATAAAATATAATACTAAAGTAAATAGTAACAATATCACCACAAAAGTATATTTAAAAATGGACATCTTTTATTCAAAAAATATATGTGTGTCTGTTTTTTTTTTTTTTTTTTTTTTTTTTTTAAGCATTTCACCCCAAGCAAGGCGGGAATGCCACTAGCACGCAAGGGCTTACAGAGAGTGAGAGCAAGAGTAAAGAGGGGTGTTTGAGGAAAGGATATAGAGAAGGACGGGGATCAGGATAAAGGCATCAGAAAATATCGATTGACATTACATTTGAATATTTGAAGATTATAACTAATAGAGAAGCAAATAGGAGGAAAGGAGTTCAACTGTCGGGAAGTGCGAGACAAGAAGACGCGGTTTCATTCGAATATTTCGACAGTAAAACGGTGGGACTGAGATGTCAACCTAGTAGCACACTTAAATTCAGTAAGTAAGTTAGTGAAAGTAGTTCGAATGGACAGATAAAATATAACACCAAGATAAATACTAATAATAGCCCCACAAATGTTGCAGTATATTTGTAGATGGACATCTTTTTTCCCAAAAATGTATGTGCTTCTTTGTTTTTACTTGTTTAGTGATGTGTTTGCCTACGATACTTCTTATCACTACAGGTGACATGATGGAAATTTTGGGCTTAGGAAATTTACACCTCGGCGACAGATTATTGGCCTGCCTGTCTCTATGTAATAATAATAATAATAATAATAATAATAATAATAATAATAATAATAATATGAGGAATATTATGATGAGGAAAACCAAAAGAAAATAATGAAATAGAAATGAGTGGAAGTATTATTATTATTATTATTATTATTATTATTATTATTATTATTAGTAGTAGTAGTAGTATGATAATAATAGAAAAATAATGAGAAAACAATGAGAATACTATTCTTCTCCCTTTATGTGCCGTGTCCCTTAAGAATATGTGCGATTACAGCCCTCCACAATTTCCTATCCTTTGTAGCTCTTAATATATTTTGTCTCCCCTAATTCCTGTTCTGCAAAACATTTACACAAGCTGTTTAGGTAGGTCATGCCTTGCTTTCCTCACTCCCTATTGCTTTCAATATGTCCTGTGAGTGTCAAATTTTCCAAGCCCTCTTTCCTCATTATGCGCCCTAGAAATGTCAATGGTCGCTTTCTGAAAATTAAGTATAAGTGACCTTTTTGTTTCCATTTTCCCTAAAACTTCTTCAGGACACACATGTTCAGCACATTATATTATTCGGTATTTCTGTAGAAATAAATTTTCTGTCGCCTCAAGTATGTTCATCAACTGTACGGAGATTTTTAAACAGTCACTGCAATATAATTGGACTGATATTACAGCTAATTCTATTTTCTAACGAGATTTTCTTATTTCTTAATACATTGCTTAACTTTTGGAAGTCATCTTTCGCTATCCCCGAACTAGTTCGGATTTCGGTGTCGCATTTTCCGTTAAAATACTTTATAGATATTGAAACATTTGTACTTGCTTATTTTGGCATTTCTATATTTGTAACTAGCATGTTGGGCTCTTCGTTTTCTAACAAACATATTATCAAACATATTAATAATTGTAATATGAAAAACTGTGTGAAATAGATTATCTGATAAGTAATGGATTGGATGAGCGAGTTACGCAACGGTTATGCCTGCTAAAACGTAAAACGTCAAGACGTGTTCAAATTTTGGCAAGTATGTTGCGTTCACTTTCGCACTAATGACTTTGGGAAAGATATGAACCCATCTGTTCTGCCCGCCATCTAGAGGTTAAATAGCATGGTAGACTGGTTTGTTTTGATTTGGTTTGGTTTACAGCATATCAATCTCAATGGGTTATTCAATCCCGACATGATTTTTATTGCTGGTAATATTTTTGCCCCAAAATGTACTTATTGCTATTAAAGTTTTTTTTCAAAAATATATTGCTGATAATATTTATTTTTCAAAAATATATTGCTGGTAATATTTTTTTGCTGGTAAAATATATTTTATTTTCAAAAATGTATTACTGGCAATATTTTTTCTTTAAAAATATATTGCTGGTAATATGTTTTTTCAAACACGTATTACTAGCAATAATTCTTCAAAAATTTATTGATGGTATTAAAGCCTATTTTTCATAGTGTTTTGACACCAGTTTGGGGGTTAACTATTTGCCTATAGTTGAGAACGTAACAGGCGCTACCACCCAGGGTCAGGGTGGACCTGGGAACACCGGCAGTTAAAAGGTGGATCCACGCTCCTCAAAATATCCTGGTCAGAGGCCTGCTGTCGGATTTAGTTCATCGTTTTAGCCAGGACGCGGATATAGTTTATCGTCTTACCCAGGGCACGGATGTAGTTTATCGTCTTACCCAGGGCACGGATGGAGTTTATCGTCACACCCAGAACGGGGGTGGACTGGACTCTCTAGTCTTAGCTGGCACCTAATCTAAACTCTGAACTCCAAACTGTGGTGAATTCAACGGGAAACCACTCAACTATCTTAACACTAAATTCATAGAAATTAAAGATATTAAATATATATATATAGGCAAATATAAAAATAGGATTCTGTGGAGAGCCACGACCGACCATGATCTTGAAGTTACATGGCATTAAAATGGACTATATAAGGCAGATAATAAAAATAATCATAACAAAGCAACCCGAACGTAAAACGAACAAAACATTCTTCTTTGATGGCGTGGACGAATATGGTTCTCCACAACCTCCTGTATTTAGCAAATTTAGTTTTTTTACCATCTATCTTCGTGTTCTGTAATCCATTCGCATAAATTACGCTAACCGTTGCATCCATTTGCTTGTTTTACATTCAATATGTCCCACGTGTGTTGGATTCTCCAGGCCGCCTTTCCTTGTAGTATCCCAAAAATCTCAACTGTGTGTTTTTGACAGTTTCCGTGTAGTTCCTATTTTTCTATAAACGTCCTCGTTGCTGACCTGCTCTAG